GTCCTACCTCAAGTGGCGGAGTTTAAGTATCTCGTGTCTTGTTCAAGAATGAGGGTAGGAGGGATCGGGAGATCGACAGGAGGATTGGTTCAGCATCTGCAGTGATGCGGACGCTGAGCCAATCTGTCGTGGTGAAGAGGGAGCTGAGCCAGAAAGCCAGGCTCTCGATTTACCGGTCGATCTACATCCCAATCCTCACCTATGGTCATGAGCTTTGGGTAATTACCGAAAGAACGAGATCGCGGATACAAGCGGCCGAAATGCTGGCCAGGCTCAGCCTTAGAGATAGGGTGGGGAGCTTGGACATTCGGGAGGGACTTGGAGTAGAACCGCTGCTCCTCCGGATCGAAAGGAGCCAGTTGAGGTGGTTTGGGCATCTGACCAGGATGCCTCCTGGACGCCTCCCCTGGTAGGTGTTTCGGGCATGTCCTGCCGGCAGGAGGCCCCCGGGTCGACCCAGGACACGTTGGAGAGGTTACATCTCCAATCTGGTCCGGGAACGCCTTGGGGTCCTGCCAGAGGAGCTGGTGGAGGTGGCCGAGGAGAGGACGGTCTGGAGCTCCCTGGTTGGGATGCTGCCCCCGCGACCCGGACCCGGATAAGTGGAGGAAGACGACAATGACTTTTTGACCAGTTGGTGATGTCTATTGTTGGGAGGGACAACAACAGCTCATTTGAAATGGCTTTGGCATCAACTTTGGGCAATTTAGACTTGGGCTTTCCCTTGAGTTATGAGCAGATAGATGTACTTCATTCCTTTATTTAGAAAAAGATGTATTTGTGTTTTCTTTGACAGTGTTTGGTGGACTGCCCCACAGACAAACTATCTGTAGCGATAAGTATGCCACTTTGTACCCCTTAATACATTTTTGGTGATGACATTTTTATGTAGAAATTCTGCAGTTGAATTTTTATGGGCAAAATTTTTGCTGGTGTATTTTATTGAAAAAAAAATTCAAATACGTAATTTCACAGAATAAAAATCCAGTGTCATGAAAACAATGTCTAAAAAAGTCAGATTCTGACGAGACTGTATTTCTTACATAACAAAAAGCTATTGCAGATTTTACCCACTTTAGGATAGTGGAGGAGGTTTATCACAGAAAATATTTGATTGTGCTTTGGGCTATATAATAGTAAATAAATATGACCTCTTCTTAGGCGTGTCTGACACGGGGCAAACACAGTCCGCCAATATCAACCTGGACATCATTCAGCTCACCGCCTCCATTCAATTCCTCTGACAAACAGCTGGAACAGTGGGGGACCAAAAACAGCAGACATCCACTCTCTGATTTATATTACATCCAAGTAACATTCTTGTAAGAATACAGCTTCATCTTCTCTAATCCAAAGTACATGCACACTGGCCGACTCTCGTTTATTACAAACAGATCATATGTGAACATCTGATGTGTATAATAACGCTGTCTCCTCCATACAAAACGATGATTTGTGAACGTGACGGAGAAACGGCACGAGGAGAATATTTTAGAAATAAATAAAGCTGATTTGTGTAATTGAGCATCTTCATCTCTATATTTGTGAATGCATGTGGCTGTAAAAAAACAGAAGCCGGCGCTTTTAACATGAGCTGAGGGCTTAAAATAGTGGTGTATGTCTCCTTTAGCCAGGAGGAAGCATCGTTTATGATTTTCTAGACGAAACTCAGACCTCATGAGAGTTCTCAGTTTCACCTCAGCCCATTTTAAATGAGCTCTGCTTCACTGAACGCAATTCCTGTCTCTAGATCTTCTTTATGGATTTTCTCTGCATTGCAATGCATGGATGCAGCAACGAGTTAAAAAAATGGATGATAGTGTATATGCACGTGCATATTCGTTATATACTTTTCTTTGGTTAAACTCTCAGAAAGTAATCATTACAACTGTTTTGGGTTCGTAATCAACACAAATCCGAATGGCTAATTGACATGACCTGCATGCAGCAACTGTAATTTAACCATCATTAGCTTCTAACCAGTGTTGGGAACATTACTTTAAAAAAGTTATTAGTTATAGTTACTGATTACTTTGTCAAAAAAGTAACTCAGTTACTGAGTTACGAGATTGTAAAAGTAACTAATTACCAAGAAAAATAACTACTTAGTTACATTTTTCATTAAAGAATGCCAGAAAAATGGGTTCCCCTCATAATTGAACTTACTTAATTTACTATAAATTACTACAATAGTGAAATATAAATGATTAATGACTGGAACATAATAAAATGTATGTCCAAATGTTTTTTTTAACCTGAATAATTTAAATAAATAAGCACTTAACAGGAGGAACTACTAACAGGAACATTACACTAATCTAGACTATTAAAAGGTCACTGTGTGATATTTAACAAGACCCCAATCAGCTGAAATTTAAAATTGCAAATAGAAACACCTGTAAAGCTTCCTGAGCCTTTAAATGGTCTCTCAGTCTAGTTAAATTACAGAAATGAATGCAATTTTGCACCATATTCTAATTTTTCCCAGCTTCACATAATTGTGTGTTTTAGCAGCATTTCTGTTGCTGATAATCTAGTAACGGTTAAATAAATAAATAAAATCCTTTAAAATGACACTAGAAGAGGCACAAGCCTGATGGAGGACTTACATTTACTAACTTGGGTCAGACCCAACAGAGCTGAAGCTGGGTGGTAAACACACACAGGTAGTTCTAATAACACCTGAGCTCCATGACGTCTGAGACTGATGCATCAGTGTTACAGCGGGACTAAAGACATGATCAGGAACAGGTTACAGCCAGTGTTGCCAACTGTTTTTGACTGAAAGTAGCTGAAGTTCCCCCCAAAAGTCACTAGATGTTGCCAGATGACATCACATACTAATTTACATATTGATGACGTCATCACGCCACATTAGCGTTCGTTTTCCCCATAGCATCTAATATATATATATATATATATATATATATATATATATATATATATATAAAATAGGACTAAAAGGGAGGAAAATAAAAACTATGTTATATGTTAAAGTTATTAATTAGTATGATTAAAATGGCCCAAATTGCTTTGATATGTACAATAAATTCCAAAACTACCAATAAAGTGGCATTAAGACAGATGGTGTAGTGATCCAAACAGTTCTGTTGTAGGATATGACCTCCTGCTCTCCTCATTCTCACAGACATTTTCCTAAAAAGCTGTTTTTTTACGCCTCATAGTTTCTCAAATTCTCTGTTGTGTATTCTCTCCATCGTGATAATAACGGCGCACCGAGCAAAAGGGAGCGGGTGTCTCAAAGTATAACCATCCCTGTGTCACTGAAGGAAATTCAGATGAGCCACAGAGCTGCGTGTGTAAACGGGACGGTAGTTGAAACTCCCGATGACTGTATTTGCCAAATGCAGGAAAAGCCAAAGTGTCTGACGGCTGCAGAACCAGAGGTCGCAGGTTGACGCCCGCGCCGTCTCTAGTAGAAGTGTGAGCCTGCAGCAATATGAAAGCAGCAGACGTAAATCGGCGGTCTCCAGCTCTGCAGCTGTACTCTGTCTTCAGCGAATCAGACTGGCCGAAAACGGGTTATGATTGGTCAGTCCTCGTGCACATGTGCAGATTATCGTTCTCTTTCCTTACTCCCGGAAGAACGGTTCAGAGTGCAAATGGTTTCTTTGTTGCTAATCTGTGGGGAATATCTACATGAAAGTTCTACAGAAAGTAGCAACGGGTCCTGAGAAATGTTGCTAAGTTTGTCGCTAGGCGCTTTTTGGAAAAAAAGTCGTTGAGGGGGGTCAAAAAGTCGTTAGGAACAGTGACAAAGTCGCTGAGTTGGCAACACTGGTTACAGCTGGATGATCTAGGAAGGTAGAAGATCAGGAAGTCCCCAGTAACGTAACGGCGTTGCAACAGTGGGAAAGGTAATTAATTAGATTATTCCGTTACCTAAAAAAGGATGCCATTAGTAACGCCATTATACTTAAACTGTGTTACTCCCAACACTGCTTCTAACGTTTGGTGTTTTCTCTGAGTGTTATGTGCTGTCTCAAAATAAAGACAATTGAGATAAAAACTCATCCAAAAAATTTTAATAACCTTTTCAACTGATGGAAGATAAGGAAAAGAAGGCTAAAGAAAAGCTTCCTTAGCTTCAAATGAATGCAGGCTGATTTTTAACTGGCATCGCTGTTTTAAGAGTTGCAGGTTGAAAGTAGGTGTTTAGTTCTGAAATTCTCTCTTTGTTTCCAAACAAGATTCTTTCCGTTTTGTTCTTTTTTAACTGGAGAAAATGTTGATGCTTCCACATTTGTAGTCTATTAAGGCAGTGACATAAGTATACCTGAGTGTCATCTGCATAGCTAAGATAGGACACATCATTTTATCTAAAAATTAGACCCAGAGGAAGCACATTCATATTAAACAGAACTGGTCCAAGAATGGACCCTTGTGGAACTCCAAATGGCATGGTGGTATTTAAAGATTTACTAGTGTCGATCAAAACAAAATAACATATCTTCTGGATTTGATTTAAATCAGCTCAGCAGATAAAGTGCACCCCCTAGAGCATCTACCTGCTCCACAAAACTCTTAAATGCTTTTTCTGGTTAGCGTCACCATCATACTGCCATAGCAGGCAGAATACCTTGAAGATTATACACATTTTTCTTGAATCGCTATAAAATGTTCCCAATTTTTGAACTCCATTGCCAGTTCACATGATAGTTTGAGCTTTGCCGGTGACACCACACCTGAACTCAAAAGCCATTACTGTGCAAATGAATCACGGACAGAAAGGCAGATGATGCAGCAAAAGGTTCAGCGGCAGTTTTGAGAGAAAAACTAAGTTTTAAAATATTAACGATGATGTTGATAATTACATCCGTGGTCGACAGTTTTGGTAGTCGACATAATTGTGACAAATCGACTAATCGGCAAAACCAACTAACATTATAAATGGAAAATTATTCATTTCAACCCAGTCAGTTTTTACTGACCTTGGGCTCAAACTTGGTAGCTACTAGCAACGTATCCCGCAGATCATGTACAATCTTACAAGTTTAATGTTATTAGCAACATTTGATGCAAATTGCTCAACATAAGCTGATCTTGGTTTAAAAGTCTAGCATGAAAGGTGGTGGGCTGTATGAATTCCATCAAGCTGCGAATGTCAAGTTAATTAGCATTAGCAAACTCCAGTTGAATAAAATGCCACTACACAACTCAAATGTTATATTTTCCAGCGTCTTTCTTAATTTCCTAACACGTTTTCCCTAACTCATCAAAGTAAAATAATCCAATTACAAGGGTTTGTTTTATCATTTCAAAATGTAGTGGTGCTAAATATGTTTAAATGTACACACAAGCCTCTAAAAGCTACTACTCTACTAGCCTCTACTAGCTACTTGTACAAACGTGACTTTAAAAATAAGATATTAGATTTAGACTGAGAGCAGGGACTGCATCGTAAACAAAAACCAAAATATATAGTTTTTCCCTACTTTTATCAATAAAAAATGCAACACAAGTTACATTTAATCTACAGCAGCTTATTGTCTCAGGTGAGAGGACAGTTGGTTGATTTGTCAAAAGTAACAGTAGTTGAGCAGACGCTTGTTGTAAAGTGAAGAGATCAGGGCGCCTGTGGATGATGGCATTCCAGGAGCTCAGTGCATCTTCAGGCTGAGAGTTTGAGCAGGCAGCTCCACTGGCTGCAACACAAGACACGAGCGGTCAGGGGAGGCAGGACCCATGTCCTGTGTTGCAGCCGCTGGCCCGGCCAACAGGTCATCTTCAGCTCCGGGCTGCAACAGCAGATCCACTGTGAAGAGGAAAATAGGAGTCACAGAGGAAGGAAATTTGAAGGGGGGGGGGGGGGGGGGGGCAGATAAAGTCTGTCACAATAAATTCTGTGTGTGCAGACACTGAAAGCACAAGAGCAAAAGTGAACTGACAAGCCACAAAGGAAGAAGAACAAAGAGTGAAAGAATCCAGGAAAACACTAATGGAGAGTGAGCCGGAGCGAGCGAGAGCAGCAAATGGGCGATGCCCCTCCGCAGACACCCACATTGATCATGTGACGAGTAAGAATAACCCTGTTCACCTTGTGAATATGAGCTCTCACATTCCGGGCTACATCTCATAACCCTGCTCGACATCCGGGGAAAAGAAAAAGCTCCTCCGGCCCAAATTGCTTCACTAGAAGGTTAATGACTGCCAGCGCCAGGGGCCCGCAGCATCTCCCGCGTCGCAGCCCTGCAGTGGAGTCGGTGCATGTCATCGGGAATAGATGAAATCATCATTATGGCAGTGCAATGCATATGAAGATAAAATTAAGTGTGGTGGAGATGATTGGGGTGAAAAATAAGAAATGTGCATAAGCAGTTCAACACTTAACTTCCTACTATTGTCACGAGCGTCATCTGGAGCTAGGGTTCACACAAGTAGTTCACAAGCCTCCTTTCTTTTTCCTGTTAGAAACTCTTTCTGCCGTGTAACGAGCATTAAAAGGTCAATGCTTAGTGAACTATATGCTGCTGCATTGCAAACAAAGGTCTGGAAATGTCACAGCTTCACCTGCAAGACGTCATTTCAGCTGAGGGAAGGCTGCCAGGTCACACTAACAAAACAATCTAGTATTTTCTGACACTTATTCAAAATGTCTGATGTGTAAGTCTCTCTGCTTTATTCCCTCATCTTTCATCGCTGCTTTTGATTTCAGGATGCAGAACAGTCAGGCGATTACTTTTCTCTGTCTCTTGCTTGCTTCGGGTATGAAAATGGATCCAGCCTAGATGCTGAAGCCACAGGGAACAGAGCTCAGAGGACTGGCGCAAGGAGCTGAAGGACAAAGCGTACAAAAAACTGAGAAAAAGACAAAGTAGTGGAGAGCCAAGGGCAAGATTTGATTCATGTAACTGGAGCTCTCCCTATAAGGAAAGGTAATTCGGAACGGAATGTTTGGGAAAAGTTTCCTGAAGGTTGAAAGTTTCAGACGTGATATTTTTGACGCAAACATTTGATCTCCAGATTTCACTCATTTTGCAACAGAATGTGCAACAAAAAGCACATAAAGACAAAAAAAACTCAAACAATACACATAACTGCATATGTAGGTAATCGTTTTATCACTATGGCGACGATGGGTTTACTCAAATGAGTTTTTCAAATAAAAAATAAAATATGCTTCACGCACAGTGTGGAGTTAATGGGATGTGTAATGAAACACTTGAATAATAAAAAATAAACCCAGATTATTTTCATGGTTTGCAGGGATTCCAGTAAATGTGGTGGATGTTCATCCCCTCCATACAAAGGTTCACACAAAGGAGCCCGACAATAGTGCATTGTGCTCTGGCTCCTCTCATCGTTGTGACACAGAAAGGCAGAGTTGTTGGTTGCAGATGGAGAAGAGCGCAGCACAGCGTGACTCCGGTGAACATGAGGAAACAGAGAGAGATCAGTTCCCAGATTAGCATTATACCTTTGACCCTGCGCAGCCTTTGATTCGTGCTCGTCCACACGTTCACTGGATTAACTTCCTTAATGCAAAACAGAAGCAAGGCTTGGCTTTGAATACAGATATCAAACACATAGACGTAATTTGGGGGGGGGGGGGGGGGGGGGGGGGGGACAGGGGGGACATGTCCCCCCCAATTTTTCCAAAGTCAAGTTTTGACCCCTGCACTTTTTACCATCCAAAAACAATATTACGCTATATTAAATTGACACTGGTTGAGCTCTAGGACCAAGCAGAAAACAAGCGTTTGTGTTGAAGCCTGTTTCCCTTTAGAGCATACTGTAAAGATACCCCCCCCACCCCACACCCACACCCCGTACCCCCCCACACCCCACTTCTAAAGTGAAAATTACGTCCATGATCAAACACGAATGGAAAATACTTATGATCACTTGACACTTTATTAGGTATGCCTGCTCAATTTCTTGTTAACAAAAAATATTTAATCAGCCAATCAAAAGGCAACAACTCAGTGTAATTAGGTGGTTAAATGTGCTGAAGACAACTAGGCTGAGGAGGAAATGGGTTTAAAGTGACCGTCCCATGTTTTGATCTAATTCTTTAAAAACTGCTCATCTACTGGGAGTTTCCGTCACGATCATCTCTAGGTTCACAGCGAATGATTCAAAAAACTGAAAGCATCAAGTGAGCATCAGTTGTGTGGGCAGGCGTGTCAGAGGTCAGAGGAGAACGGGCAGAACGGTTCTAGATGGTAGAACGTCAACAGTTAATAGTTCCATCCAAGGTCTGCAGAACAGCAACTGGAGCCTGGAAGCAGATGGACCACAGCAGCAGAAGACCACATCAGGTGTCACCCAAGAACAGAAATCTCCTACGGGCTCACCAGAACTGGACAATAGGAGACCGGATAAATGTTGAGCGGAGTCCAATTCCAACCATTAGATGATCAGATCAGAATTTTGTTAAATGTCAAAAAAGCACGGAGCCACGAATGGTTTGGCCTGCTACTGGTGCTGTAATGGTATGGAGGATGTGTTAATGGCCCACTTTGGGCCCCTTAGGGCCACTTGGGTCCGGTTTAAACACCAGAGCCAGCGTGAGTGTTAATATTCCTTTTTCCGACAAATGCAATTGTTTTAGAGATGTTTTATACCTGCTGACATTTTTTTTACTGCAAACTCAATATTCATCAGAATGTCATCCTGGGCAGGGGTGGATTGGCAGACCGGGCGCTTCCCTGTGGGCCAAAGGTGGGCCGGTCTAAAATGTCTCCTTGGCCTTCATTAGTGTCTACAGCGGTGGTTCATGGCTGAATCAAACAAATTAGCTGTGTTCACGATCTAAAACATACAGGAAGCCTGCTGGAAGCAAACTACAGCACGGGCATGTCAGCTCCCCTTTTACTAAGTTCAACAGGGACCGGACCGGCACTCTGAAGTTGTAAGTGCGATATTCTGGCCACATAGGGGGGTGGGGTCTGAGTGGCATTTCATTAACCTTGTAAAGGGTCACTTTAGCACATACTGGCTCAAGAAAAGGATTTAAAAGTATGAAAAAAGTTGCATAGTCTTGTTTTAACGCTTAAACCCCAACTTTGCAGCAATAATCATGTTGAAAAGCACATGATGGAAGAAGAAATCCCTACTCTCCTTATCCAGTCATTGCACCCGGTCCCTTCCCTTTGGACACACTGAATGCCTTGCTGTTCTCTTGGGTTCTGGATGCTGCTAACCCTAACCCAAACAAACCCTTTCTGTAGAATCTCTTTTGTTCTCCTCAACCTGATCATGCTCGGGTGTAGCGGTCTATACCAGCAGCTCAGGTTCCCAAGATGGACCAGCCAGTGCACACATCCAATATGAGAAAACTCCACACACACACACACACACACACACACACACACACACACACACACACACACACACACACTCACATGCTTTCGTTCTTTTTTAAACACAGAAACAGTTTTGTTTACCTGTTTGTAAAAAAAAAGAGACTCACACTCACGCTCGCGCACACACACACATACACACACACACACACACACACACACACACACACACACATACACACACACACACTCACACTCACGCTCGCACACACACACACACTCACACTCACATGCTTTCGTTCTTTTTTAAACACAGAAACAGTTTTGTTTACCTGTTTGTAAAAAAAAAGAGACTCACACTCACGCTCGCACACACACACACATACACACACACACACACACACACACACACACACACACACACACACACACATACACACACACACACTCACACACACGCTCGCACACACACACACACTCACACACACACACACACACACTCGCACGCACGCACGCACACTCACACACACACACTCACACTCACACTCACACACACACTCACACACACTCGCACGCACGAACACACACTCACACACACACACACACACACACACACACACACACACACTCGTACGCACGCACGCTCGCTCGCACGCACACACACACACACACACACACACACACTTGCACGCACGCACACACACACACACACACACACACACACACACACTCGCACGCACGCGCACACACACACACACACACACACACACACACTCGCACGCACGCATGCTCACACACACACAGACACACACACTGACACACACACACACACGCACACACGCACACACACACGCACACACTCACACACACACACGCACACACACACACACACACACACACACACACACACACACACACACACACACACAGCCTAAAATGGACAAATAAACAAGGAATTTAGCTGTGGGGCATAAGACATCAAGGAAAGAAAGAAAACGAACGATTTTGGCCCACACCTGACTCGGCCCTCTTCACGACTAATCTCCATGCAGGAAGTAATCACTTCAACTCTTGAACACAACATTATTTTCCACCTCACAAACTAGCTTCACGTAACAGAAATTCAAGCACACCAGACATTTTTATGCAGATTGGAAGTCAGCATCTTTAAAGTAACCTACAAGAGCTCGTCTCACAAAACAGCACACGACTGCTCCCAGAGTGCACAAAGACAGAATTATACGTCATCAAGAGAAGTGCTGACCTTGTTCCTCTTCTTTGTCAGAACTACATGAGAAGTAGGGCGTGAGAGGTTACTCTCAGAATGATGCACCATAAAGACAGGCGCTCCATAAGTGGAAAAACTTGCAAAGGCCGACGACTAACGAAAGAGTCGGAGGTTGATTTTTTATAAAGTCGATTAACAGGAATTAATAAGACTGATTACATGCAAAAAGCTGAAAATCAATAAAGCAGGAAGCAGCCCCTAAATACATGCACATGAACTGGCCTTAGTTCTGTTAATCATTGATGAAAGCTGCATGATCCTACTCATTACAGAACATGGACTGTTAAAACTCAGCAGTGCTGTGGCGCAGAGGGTTCTGCAGGAGAATGACCTCAGATGAACGAGTAACTCTGATTCATCAGGAGGAAAGCAACAGAAGGGGACCCTCAGGTTGTTAAAGCTGCACGACTGACGGAGTGTGAAAAGTCATCGCAAAGACGCTGCATGAGCGCGCTTTTTCCACACGCAGAGAGAGCAGCAGCATCGTGCCTGTTCTCCGGAGCCTTCTCAGCGTTACTGGAGGTGGTGTTGTGTTTCAGAAGTGATATCTGCATTGCTCTGTGTGGCTGCTGCTGCGATTGGCTCTCCCTTGCAGATGCTGATGGGACACTTCAGGGATCTCCTCCCAAGCGAGGATCTCTACTGGTGAAAGTAGTCTTTTATGCACCGGTATGGCATGATGTGGACAAGTGTGACCCTGCATGCAAATCATTTTAAAGTGATACCCACAGGGCTTCAGGTTCAACCCTCTATGAGTCAGCAGATGAGATTTCAGAAAAGCACTTTAATTATAGCACTCTAAATTTTTAATCTTCCTTGGGTAAAAGTTACAGTTTCAGGGCAACTAAAATCATCATAATCTCCCTGGAATTGTGTAGAGATGAAACATAATCTGGTTATGATATGCTCCCGGGTAACAGTGACACCTGTGACAAAGAAAAGGCGACATTGTCCTACCTTCCCTGTCCAGCAGCAGTTTCATTTTGATGTGGTCCCACTCTGAGCATCATCCCAGCCCCCCTGCCTGACTGTGCCTCCGCCGTGTGCTTCCCTGTCTGGGAGTCAGTTTAGACCTGCAGTGAGGGGGTGAGGAGGGAGGGGCGGAGAGGGGGATCCCTTTATCCACGGAGCCGCGCGGCTTGGTCGTTTCCACCTCGCGCGGAGGCGCTTTTCCTGAGAGGGCTTGAAAAAGCGAAGATTTACTCAGAGTGGGTAGCAATCCCTCACACTTTAGCTGACTCCATCACTTTCTGTGAGCTCCGGTGATTTAATATCGCCTCAGTGTCTGGTGACAGCTGCTTCCCCTTTCCCACCCACCCCCCAGTCCACAACCATCCATCCATTTGTGCGCGCGCACGCACGAGCAGAACAAAAGTGGTAAAAACATCACTGTTGCACTCCCTGCAGCCGTGATTCAGTTATGATTAATACATGGATGTTACGTCACGTAATAATTCGCATCCTTAACTCGCAGGCATGACGAGAATGAAATGTCTGGATGTCGTTGGGCTACTTTTTCTGTCAAAGAAAAGAAACAAGAAAGGAAATCACTTGAAATGGAATTGTATTAGTGTGATAAATACGATGAAATCAAATTATCTGTTGCATTTGAATATTTGTCATAAACACAAGCTGAGAGCCTAGAGTGCGTAAAACGCGCCTGAACGCCGAATGAGCCGCATTATAAATTAATAAAAAATGTGAGTCTACCTTTTAACCCTTTTGCAGCTTATCTCTTTTCTCTCTCCTTCCACTCCTGCTCCATCGTGAATTGGAGTTGCTTCCGTTGGCTGATCCAAAGGTGCGCACTCATCCAGCTTCTCTCTCTTGATGCTGCTGCTTCCAAATATCTAATTCTACACCTGTATGGGGTTCAATTTGTGCCAAATAAAATGGTTGCACGTCATTTGTTCACTTGAGCTGTGAATGTATGAACTTGACAAAGACATGGACTAATATTCTTTGCACATTTGGAATCTCGTAATACCAAACGTTTAACAGAAATATGGAACTCAACAGGAAGCAATTTCAGAGAGACTAAAGCCGGGCGTACACTGTGCGACTTTTTCACTTTTTTGAGCCGATTTTCCACTCGTGCGAGAATCCACGAGATCGGGGCGAGTTTAGCGCTGAGCGTCGTGTAGTGTACAGGGGGTTACGAGAGGCGATTAACGCCACGTGACCAGCTACCGATCAGCAATCGTGAGCTCGCACGGACTTCTGGCGTGTTTAATATTTTGCTCGTCCCTCGTGAGGGTATCGCACTGTTGAAGCGGCGCTGCGAGCAGCTGCCATCCAAAAAGCATCAGAACCGCTCACGGAGCATGCGCAATCCTGCATCACCGCCGCTCGCCTGCTATTTCCCTAATAACGCACGCTGTTCATTTTTGTTTCTACACGTTTTTTTTACTCACAAAGATTGTCAAGAAAGCGTGTTTGTCGTGTTCGTGTCAAATTAAACTGATCACAAAACACAGATTTACTTTCTTTATTTCGTTTTCCTCATCCAACCCCCATAAATCCCTGTGTGTCCTCCTGCAGCACTCCCGAAGGACAACAGGCAAAACACGACAAAAAGTCTAACGTGTTGAGTAAAAACTGCTATTTTTAGCATATTTTTAGGTCCGACGTGTTGCGACCAGACGTACAGTGTGAGCACATGACTCGTGAGATCTGCCCTGCGAGGAAGTCGTACAGTTTGAGCTAAAGCTGAGTGCTACAAGTGAAAAAGTCGCACAGTGTACACCCGGCTTAACACTGGGGATGTGTGTTCCCAGTTTTTGACGCCACAAATTATTCTGGTAGCAGCTGTCTGCACTAATTTCAGCTGTATGAGATATTACTGTAAAGTGTCTGACCCAACAAGTCAGTGACTTGATGCAATCTGCTGGGTTTCCTTGCATAGACAATGATGTACATTGCATAGCTTATGCATTTACTCAGCAGGAAACATGAGGCCAAAGCGGCACAAATGCTCAAAAGTTTGGTTATACTTTGCAAGTATTGCAAGTTTCTCGTAAAGTACATATTTAATCAAAGGGAGGAAACACTACGAATTTGCAAAAGCATTTGCACACAAAATATGCGTTCATTTGCAGTGAATGTTCCAGACTAGGGAATTTCCTTGTAGCAGCAATGGTAGCATTCACACATATTTTCCTGTTAATACTGCATCTAACTAATCAGCTGACACTGTCTATCATGTTAGCATCATTTGCCTTATATGCATACTAGACTCCAGCGACAAAAGTCTGATCTATGGTGAGATTTTGCCCATTTTGCAAAGCTTCAGCAACACTACGCTGAACAAGAAGATGAATTGGTCTTCACAGGAGCATAAAAGGGAACATTTGGAAAGGTCTTTTCACGCAATACCAGGTATAACTGATTATTTATCAGTAATAAACTGACAGTTATAATGCAGGAGACTGTGCAATTAAGTTTGGCACTAGCAGGAGGTGGAGTCGGGATGGGGGTGGGGGGGATCTTTACAATAAGTATACAGCCAGGGGGGCTGCCAGAGAGTTTGGGCCCCATGAAAAAATATCAAGTTGGGCCCCCTGGGGGCTCGTCCATGGCTGGAGCTGGGGTTCCACCCTCCCAGTTTCGAAGGGAGAAAAAAATATAATATATATATACTTTATTATAGTGCTTCAGTTTTGCTTAATTATGTAGGTCTACATGCATTCTTACTTATTTACATATCATTTTCACCAGCTGTCTCTCATTAAACAGCAGGGGCGGCGTTAAGCTTGGTTTATGCTTGACGCATTCACTTTCCGCGCGGTGATGCGGCTCGCGGCTGGAACGCGCTTCACAACTCGCAGCGTTTATGGTTTGTGCGGCTCGTCTCTGCGGTGAGCCAATATTCTCCCAAACTGAACGGGGCAGCATGGAGCTCTACAGCATGCATCCAACACTACACCATAGTAGAAGTAGAAATCACTGTTTACAACATGGTATTTCAGCATTGTTAACAGCGTTCTCGTCTTTTCCGACAGTGCGAGCTATTTCTCTCCAAGAATTATAAACAACATGTTGATCACGGTGATCTCTGAGAGCTGAATCATACAAACGTCTGTATTTACCAACCTCTGCCGTGTCGGTCCGCCATGTTCTTCCGCGTCCGACCGTCCGCGTGGTTAGAAATTTTCCGAGGTGCGCGTTGCGGAAATCTTGGGCCGTGCGGAGACGCGGTGGAGGGGCGTGGTTGTTAAAATGACGCAAAATGACGCAAGTTTTCCGTGCGGAGCCGTGCGGACCTCGCGGACGCGTCAAGCATAAACCAACCTTTAGGCCCGGCTACTTGGGCTGAAGCCCCGGATCTAAATCGCGGAAGTAACATGCAGTACCAAAGTCCAACAGAGAGGGCGCAGCTGGCAGTAGTTTGTATGCAGCCTGCCTGAGCCTCCACCACTGAAGAAGAAGCCCTTCAGCAGCCGGCTTCTTCTACACTCTGCCTGAAACGCATGAGTGAAGATGGACATAAGGACGTTTTTTAGACAAAGAAGAACAACGACAGAACCCCAGCTTTGATGAGACTGTTGACTCAGGTTTGTGAGTCTTATTTGAAAATATTTGTGGTGCTGCTGGTTTGCCTAAAGTTAGCTTAATATCAGGTAAAGTTGCTGGAGAAGGAACGGGAATATTTACTATCATCTCACACTAAACACCAACAGGAACAATACTCTGCCCTGAATATGCTTAATATGTAGCTTCAGATTAAAAATTATGTGGTACAAGACATATATATATATATATATATATATATATATATATATATATATATATATATATATATATATATATGATGTTGACTAGTGCGTGTCACGTGTGCGCGCGCACACGTGCACGTGTGTGTGTTAAGCCCCGGATCTACTTCAGTCCTAAATCCGCCCCTGTTAAACAGTGAATTTCCTTCAACAGAATTAGCAATATCACTGCTGGAAAAAGCAGGAAATGCACATGCTGAAAGGTGTTAATCTCCTTTTCCCTATTACTCCCTTAAAATGTGTTTATTTATTCTAAAATTTTATTTGATGATAAAATTCAAATTTGGATATCTAATTAAATTTCCGTTTTGTGTCAAAGCTTTACATAAGTACATTTTCAGCTGTCTTTCCTCTTGAAATCAATTAGTTCTGTATGACAGACAAAAATTAAGGATTCATGGCTCACAAGGTGACTTCTTTGTTTTTGAACCCAGTCATTAAAATTAATGCACAACAGGGAAAATGCAGCACAAACTCCTGCAGGATATTAACTGTAGTTCTCCATCATCAATACTAGATTTCATATTTTATTGTGTTCAATGCTATATTAAGTTTATTTATTACAATTATTAATAGCTTTTGTTTCATTTTTGCTCTCTGATGAATTATTTTTGAAATTACTGATTTTTGGTTTGTGTTCTAAAAGCTACATAAACAAATTACATCTTGTAAAACCTCCCATAATTCAGTCAGATTTGAAACATTTCATTTCAAGGTATTTAGTAGATGAAGAGGTTTTTTTTTCTTGTATGGTGCCTTCAAAAAGGTGCTTCATAGTAATAATCTCACAGTAATTTATGTTACATCAACAGACTAAATAACAATGCTTCAACTGAAGCATCCAAAACCATCTATACGTTTTTACTGATTGATATATATAATTATCATTATGTGGAAAAACAATGTGTTAATCACCAAAAATAGCATTTTTATATTCCTTTGTAATAGTGCTGAGAAGAGAGCCTTATTCCCACAGACCCCCTTAAATGAGGCTGCTAGCTAACATGCTACATTGCTCACCTTCTTGAGGTTCATTGGGTTGTGAGGGGACACATGCTGACATATCATCAGCTGCTGATTCTGGTAGGGACAAGGACAACAACCCATTTATCATAATTAGATGAAACATAGTTCCTCTCACTGTGGATATCAGAGCTAGCAAACAGGTTGAATTTAACCACTCACTAACTAAACCCACCTTTCTTTGAGAAAAACTGTGTGACATACTGATGCCCTCTCTTCTGCCTGTCCTCTTTCTCCTTTCTTTCTTTCCTTTCCTATTCTGTGACCCAGACTTTGCTTTTGCAGACATATTTTTACTGCAGCCTTGGCGCACTCTGCTGTCTGTCTGCTAGTCTCGCCTGCTACGCGCCCCTCAGCCAGGTGGACTGTATCATTTTATGCTGTTGGGGGGGGGGGGGGGGGTTGGTTGTTCCAAATTAATTAGTCAAAATAAAGTAGGGACGTCTGAATAAATATACATTTCATAAATACTAAAAGATTGTTTATTTAATGTCTTAAATGAGAAAAAATACTGCAAAGTAAAGTACTTGTGATTTTTAAACTTTATTTTTTTTATTCGACTTTGAAACTTTTTTGGGCCCCTGACAGCTGTGGGCCCTTAGAGTCTTCCTAATCTTTCACCGCTTTACTGCGTCCCTGTATACAGCAAATATGGATTAAACTACATCCTAGAGGCTGTTTTATGCAATGTCAGGAATGCAGAACTGTCAAGTGCTCAAGTTGCAGGAATGGCCAGTTACACATTAGCACGTTTCAGCAGAGCCAGTAGATGAGCTTATGGATGGTTCTAATGCGAAACAGGCTTCAACACAAGCGGTTGTTTTCTGCTTTGTCTTAGTGCTCAACCAGCATCTATTTAATATAGCATGATAACGTTTTTGAACGGTAAAAGGTGCAGGGGACAAAAATTGACTTTGCCCCTCCAAAACTATACGTCCATGATCAGGAGACACAGTTCACTGTGATGACATGGTCCAACAGCAGTGTTTAGGAAAGAAATAAAACATCAGTAGATCTGGAAGAACAAGACCAACTAAGGTGAAGAACATTCAAAGTTTGAGCGCATAAAAAATGTACATGGACACCTTAGGCTACGAACATGTAGATAACACTGATTTAGAAATGGCACAAATGGAACCCCATACTCAAATCAGTTTCGACACAACTGACACTTAAATAACTTTAAAAAAATAATGTTTTCTCTCATTCTTTCATTCATTATTTAATTTCTTGCAACTTCTTAAAAGTGACTTTTGAAAAATACCAAAAGACCTTTTGCCTTTAGTTTGTATGTGTTGAGACCAAATTAAAACTAGACATTTAGTCTGTATGTTGTAGATTCACATTAATCCAGAATATGTTAATCTTAAAAGATTAAAGCGGTCTTCAGTTTAATTATGAGAAATAAAATGTCTTCAAGAAAGAGAATTTCAATCACCCTCTTTTAAATTATTTATTGGATTAGCCTGTATTGAATCAGCCTGATGTGGTCAAGCATTACCTGCTAATAAATATTTGTGGTTTATTTATTTATTTGGTTTTATCAACTATGAAGGACACGTTAGGACTGCACTATCGCAGCGCGAGTTCGTGTTACTCAATCTCCCACAATGCACCACGGAAAACGTCATAGGGCTGCGACGTAACGTCTCCACGTTGGCTGTCGATGTAAAACCTGACCCTTCTGATGGAATAGCACTGACTACCGTCTTTCACTGACTGTCACTACCGTATTTACAAACGGGTTTTAGTGTCGATATTTAGACCTCGTTGGGCTCCATACACCGTTTGTTGAGCTTTTCCGACAGAATTGCGCACTTTTAAAAAAGATGGGTCCAGTTTTTAGAGAACGTTTTCTGTTTGATGCGTCTCTGCTGTATCAGGATACGTGCCCGGAGCTGTCACGGTTCTTTTTGTAAGTAATGTTTATTTTAATATAACTTTTAATATCAGGTTTTACTATAAGGTTTTGTTTTCGTTAAGCGACATGTCCGTCCAATATTGTTGTAATTACAACATGTGACCGCTACGAGGAGCAGTTTTACCAGAAATCCACTTGACTTCTTCCTAATCTGTAATCTAGAATATTAGTTAAATGTTTTCTGTTACAGTTCTCATTCATCACGTTAGGAACTGACACCCAAGTCAGTGACTCGTATCAAAGATCTTCTGTAAAATTTGTAACATTTTTCTGGTGGTTTTGTCTTTTTAATCATTTTTTCCAAACTAAAAAAAAAAAACGAAATTTTTGGTATTTTTACCTTGTTGTAATTTGTTGGGGAAATTTTCTAATAATATTTAAATTAATAATGATAAAAATATTTATTTTAAGGTTAAATAGAATAGAATAGAATAGCCTTTATTGTTGTTGTACAGGATACAGAGAAATTGGAGTGCCACTCCTTTGGTGCAAAATGTAGAAGAATACAAAGTCAGTGCCTGACAGAGAAGACATCATTTCCACTTTTTATGAGGAGATATTTAGTAGTGATGTGACGTTTTGCGGCTGCAAACGAAACGTAGCGGGAAAACAGGTAAACAAAAACTGCTCTGTGTTTGAAAAAAGAACTACAGCATGGAATCATAACTGAATGTTGCACTCGTCGTCGGGGCTCAAAGCAGAGAATGATCCAGTGACTGCTGGAACAAGAAAAGGCTATAACACAGGTTTTAGCTGCTGATAAACCACAAGGCACCTCATGTTGACATGGCAAGACATTCAGGTGCTTGACTCAGTCAGCGCTGCATTGAGTCCACTTCTAGGTTTACAGATGCTCTTTCTGCTGAAGAGTATGTGTTAAGCCTGTTCTTCAGATGTTTAACAACGACCTGTTAAAGGTAAAAGAGAGTGACACACCGCTGACCAAAGACATCGAAACAGCAATACTCGACTACATGAACAAAAGCTACAAAGACACAGAGAGGCTTATTAACATGGCTTCTCTACTTGATCCACGTTTCCGCACAGAATATTTCAGCGAGAGTGAGAGCGAAGCCATCAAAGTTCAGGTCATGAGTGAACTAGAGCATCATGTGTCACACCAGGGTAGCACAGCCACAGGTGTTTCAGAAACACTTCCCACATCTGCTGGAGACCAAACAAATCAAGGAGCCGCTAAAAAGCCAAAAAAGAGTCTCGGGACCTTTTTGAAGGGACCTGTTAGTGGCAAGACGGATGTAACTGCAGACAGGTTGCTATCAGAACTGAGCAGTTATGTGAATAGTCCACCAGCAGACAGTGAGTGTGATCGTATTGTGGTGGAGGGTTCACATGGTAAACTTTCCCAACATCAGCAGATTAGCTAGCAAGTACCTCTGCATTCCAGCAACTAGCTCTGCATCTGAAAGGTTGTTCAGTGCAGGTGGAAACTAACCCTAACCCTTAAGCCCACATCTGTGAACATGTTGGTGTTTCTGACCAAAAAATCTTAAAACTTGAAAAGGGCACTTTATCCATGTTTTTTTTTTATGTATTACTTTTTTTTTTACTCAACAGTTTGAGTTTCATGTTGCAAAGCGACTTTTTAAGTTATTAGATACTACACATGGTTATGCTCAGGAGGATATTCAGCCCATTTGCACAAACATTTTAATGTAGTTTTGATGCACGTAAAAACTGCTGCTTAAATGAAAATATATTGGTGGGTTCTTTGCACTAATAAAGTTGTTAATTTGTAAAGTACTTTGTCTCGCATCAGTCACGTCCTCGGTTATACCGTTATCGCAAATTTTCATATAATAGATATGTATATAAACACGTGTTTATATACATATCTATGGGAGGAACGCTAAGCAACCCCGTGCGCCCTCACGGACACCGCAGGAAGACGTTGCTCTTGACACCCCCCCAACTTGTTGATGGGGACGTAAAAAAAAGCATTAAGTAAAAAAAAAATAGGGTCTGATGCACAGAGCTTCTTATTCTTCTCACTAGGCAGGAGTGCTGCCGTGGGCTCTTCTCCCATCCAGGAATGCACACTGTCACAGCAGAAGGTCAGACCTCATGCTGCCGCAACATAACATGACTTCAGCTGGCCAATCAGTCCATAGGTGGGCGTGTTGCATCAGCTCAGCATCAGACAAGCATCAGGGAAGCAGGGCTGATCCACACCGCACAAACAACACCGATGTAGAGGCATGGACCCTACCAGGACAAGACCGAGCTGATCAAAGTGTAAATTTGGCTCTAGGCTGTGTCCTAATTCTGCACCTACAGCCTTTGAAGGATTTCAACTGCAAAGACAGGATGTGAACAGCTCTTGCCATCAGATTTATTGTATGGACTGTTGCATAGCAACTGATGATGTGACATCAACAACAGCCTAACAGCATAAGCTTTTCATTTTTGTACCGTCAGATTTTAAAATGTACTTACATTTTAAACTGATCCTCTACAAAGTCAATGTAAGGCCAGCAGTGAATCTTGGGATGGATAGGTCACGAAAGATTTTCTAGACCCGCCCTTCAAATTTGGTGAAAGAAGGACATGTTTGAAGAACGCATTTGAAGGAACCTTTAAGTTTGGACATTCTTCGTCACGCTAACGAGACTATGTCCCTCGGCTGGCCAGGGGACACCTTGGGATTCCCCCAGAAGAGCTGACCCAATCAGCTGGGGAGAGGGAAGTCTGGGCATCTCGGCTTAGGCTGCTGCCCCCGCGGCCCAACTCTGGATACGCTGCTGAAAAGACCCAACTCTGGATACGCTGCTGGGAGGGAGGGAGGGAGGGAGGAAGGGAGGAAGGAAGGAAGGAAGGAAGGAAGGAAGGAAGGAAGGAGGGAGGGAGGGAGGGAGGGAATAACAACAACAGTTTTCTATACTAGCTTTTAGCTAAATAAAAGTGGTGGAATTTGCCAAATTATTCCAATCTGAATGTGAGATTTGGAGGTGGATATTCTAGATCTGGGATCTGATGTCATGTTATTTCGGCTCACATGTGACTCAGACCAGTTAAGTAGTAAATAAGCAGAGCTAGACACACTGTTCTGATAATCAAACAATGCAATGACGACTTGGTTCTTAAATAACCTTTACTGGATGTTGTAATCATCACACAGAGTCTACATGTTTTCCTTTTTTCAGGCAAGTGTTGAACATTTATAGTAAATATATGACTGACTTTAATCCAAATATATTGATTTATGGGTACATAGGACAGCAGAGCAGCAGAGAAGGCAATGAGATACAATAAATAACTATGTAATTATCTTGTTTATCTGAAGTAAAACCAAAAATGAGGATACCATTTTGTTAAAGCAGCTGTGGTGTTTCAAGCTGTCCATTTAATATGATCAATCAGACATCTGTCTAACAAATTAAAGAAACATCAATTGCTATTTTTTGTTTGATATAGATTAAATGAATGTCTTTCAAGAGCTTGAATTATTGCTTTTTGATTAATTTGTTTGAAACTGCTTTTATGTTTTGACAGTTTAAATAAATCAAATTTGATCTTTTTAGACCGTGCCTTTAAAATTAAGCTAGCTGATCAAGGATACACAAAATGGCCTTGTTCAAACACTTCCCCGAATAAAGCGCTGTACTTTCTAAAGAATGGCAGATCAGAAACCAGCGGCTATTTCAACGGCAAATTTTGAGTAATAATTGTAGGCATTGGGCTGATAAATAAAGTGGTTATTTTTTAATATTCAGAGCATTATCTATGGTTTGTTAGTTACTCAGTTGTTGCAACTTTTCGTGGCTTGCAAGTAGTAACTCGCTTACATATTTAATTTAACCAATACATACACAATTTAAAAAGTAAAGGGCTCGTCATATATTTATATAGAAACTTATATGTAAAAAACTAGGGCTGCACAATATATTGTAAATATATTGTTATCGCGATATCAGCATGCACAATATGTATATCGCAAAGAACTGATAAATATCTCTATGAATGGTCAGCTCAAATGTTTGCTTCACATAGTGCAGTCTGTCAATCAAACGGAAGTGTGATGTTTTTTGAACAAATCAAATAGAGCTCTTCACCCATTTGGCCAATTGGGTGGATTCTCATAGGTCAGTTGCCCGCCCCCGAGGCGGACGGCACTTAATTTTGATGGTTAGCAAACACCTGAGCTAGCTTTGTTCTGCTCTTTCTGCTGATTCTGCTTTCTTGTTCGTTTTCTTTTTCCCTTTCCTCACATCTTTGCTTTCCTCATTTTTATGATATTTTATTTTGTCATTTTTAAATGTCTTTGTTTTTGATTATCTTTGTTCCTGAGTGAAGTTTTTATTTATTGCAAGTAATATCTTCATCGCAATATTAATCACTGTTATCACATATCGCAGGTTTCCTGATATCTTGCAGCCCTATAAAAACAGACTCTTACCTTCCAGGTCACGTGACCGCTGCTGAAGCCGCAGTCACGTGATGTAAGTCTGTTCTATTTAAACATTTTCTTTAACCAAGGAAGGACGGTGTCCTCGTAAGCAAGCCTCGCAAGACATTGCCTTGCGAGGCTAGGCGCCTTGACATTGAGAAGCACCTTTAGACCCGATCCCATGCATTTTAGACCCGGTTTTTATCGTTATATGTTACAAAACCGCAAACAACTGGGCATCATTTAATTAATTTTTGACAACATTTTGATGGATATTTCCACAGATTAAAAGTAAGAACTACACATTGTCAGTTTAAGCATTTTTCTCAGTTTTAAAAACTAAGTTTTCTAGTTATTTCTGAAATTGTCTAATTTTCTTAGTCTACAAGCCCTCTGGTATCATACGCAAAACAAACCAGAAGCAAAAAATGGGAACTGAATTTTAACCAATAAGTAAATAAATAACAGCATAATTCATGGATAAGCCTAATTTTCTTCCTTTTTTGGGGTTAGGGTTTCGACCACTTTCATTTAAATCTACTATGAGCATGTAAGACAGTGAAGGTTCATCTGATCGTAAACATGCAGTTAGTGACTGCAGTTGCTTAAAACCCCATTAAGATGTTTATGACCATTTTTATAATGTGTTGAGAATTAATTTTGCATCATTTTTTGTTCTGCTCCATTCCTGCTACATCCTCTGAGCCGAATCTTGCTTTCATCTACATTTCTGATCTCATTTTTTCAAGTGGTGGCCAACACATAATTTGACAATCCGCTCCCACCCTTCTGCGTCAGCCAAGACCATATCTTCAGCTTCTTATCACCACAACAAATATGCACTTAAAAGGAGATGCATGACAAGTATGTTAATGAGGCGGTGCACTGGGACGGGTCTGTGGTGGGCAGTTTCTAGGAGCCCAGTCATCAAGGGAACAGAAAGGAAACCAAATTCCCACACAGACTTGATTGCTTGGTTTTACTATAAGCCAACAAAATTCAAACAGTGGTTTTGTGCCATCTGATCATTCCGTCAGTGACGTACACAGCGAGGAAGTCTGATTTCTGAACTGTTTTGGGAAATCAAATTAAATACTACATTTGAAAAATTTTTACATAAAACAGCCTCCTGAACTACCCAGAGGCTCTCAGATTGTTCAAGGTCTTTGAGTCATTGACTGCAGAGTCACAAAACCTAAAACTCGATTTCACTTTGTGTTTTCTGACAGAGCTTTTTAATCTGGAGATTTAATCCACTGATTATCAAATTGGGTGAGGATCAGTAACTCCAAGTAGGGATGAGTGTTGCAGAGCTTTCCCCAACTTGCAATTCATCAAGCTGCATCCAACCTCATCCAGCTGCACAATTTAGCAGACGCGTCAACAAACCGACAGCTTTCCATAGGTCAGTGCTGGATTAAAAACGGACCCCGTCCTCCTTTAAATAAGCAGCTGGTCCTATTTTCATGCACGTCCCAGCTGCACGTGCAGCCAGACACCAGATGACCCCCACATCGATTTGAGCCTGAAGCTAATTTTAGCGGGGCTTAGCTGTGGCTCAGTTAAGATGTTCATTAAATTTCTTTGCCCTAAGAATAGAAGCAGCCCTTTGGGAGGGTAATGTTGCTCTACATTGTTAGGGGCATACCTCTGTGTTTCTGCTTGGATTTTTTTTCTATCCCGATCCATGACATGGGATGGATAGTTGACATTCTCCTGATTGATCATTTCAACAATCTTATGTAATATTCATTATTCATCACATTACTTTTGTCAAATTTATATGAAAATAATAAAGCAGCTGTAAATTAACCAGAGTATCATAAAAAGGGGTGAGTTTTGTTAATAATGTGGTGATATATATCACAATACAGGGGAGACGGAACTAAAAGCCGGACGATATTCGCAAATTTTATGACTGAAATTAACTAGAAAACTCAGCCAGACACTTTAAAGTAGGGATGCATAACATATCGGCATCGATTTCGGTATTGGCCGCTGTTGGCCTTTTTGTAACGTATCGCTACTGGGCCGATATTAACAACCAACATTTTTCCATTTGTTTATGTTTCAGACTGCGATGGGGGGTGATATGTATTTGTTTAGTCATGTGACAGTAATGCTGTATGACACTGCAACATTTGGTATCGATCCGATACCAAGTAAATACAGGGGCCAGTATTGCCGATACCAATACCGATACTTTTTACTACTAGTCTAGTACCATCTAGTTTTATACATATATTTATATGTATTCATCATCAGTATGAGAATCTTGTCTGAAAACTCGAGTTTTATTGATTAATTAATTATTTTGTAAGTTTTCCTTTAATAAATCATGTGTACGATGATAATAAAATACAGGAAACATTTTCAGGCACATAAAATTTTTATTAGGAAAGTCAAAATGGTTTAAAAAAACTGAACTCAAGATTTTTTTTCTATTTGAATTGTATGAAGCTGTGTACAAAATAAATTCCAAACGGCACTCCTTTTTTGGTCTGCCATCACGCAGCCACAACAGTGCAGTCTGCTGTTCTGCGCTTGTCTCGTGCTGGCACTCTGTTTTACTTATTTAAAATGTAACGGCGGACTGACATCTGTGGCATTCCAATCACAGTGCTTTAATGGTTTGTTAGGCCAATCACAGCGCTCTTTTAGCGAGGTAGGCGAGATGTCCCTGCAAACAAACATGGCTGCCGCTCGAAACAGTCCAATCACAGGTATCAGCCAGGTAAACTACAAATCAAGATGGCTGCCGGTCAGTGGAGGTCCAATCATAGCTCTCTATAGATTTCATGGGCCAATCGCAACACTAAGTAAGCGGGATGTTATTGGAAAAAAGCAAACGTGACTATCCGGCGGTCAGCCGCTCGTTTGAAACGGCTTTGGCATCATGTTTGGACTATTTTGACTTTAGTTTTTGTTTGAGTCAAGATCAGATAGAAGTACTAACGTTTATTTAGGAAAATGATGTGTTTTGCTAGCCTAGTGAACTAGACCAAATTCTTGCTTTGCAAAGTTTGGTCTAGGCACGCTCCACTGGAACCTCCGCAGCTCCTACCAGGACTCTGGCTGGCCAATCACAGCTCTCTAGAGGGGTTTCAAACACATAAAGAGCTGTGATTGGTCCATAATGGTGGGCCAATCATAGTGCTCTATCTGCTTAGTGAACAAATCACAGAGCTTTATCCGCTTTGTGGGCGAATCAGGGCACTCTATATGCCTGGTGGGTGGGATGATGCAACAGAGTGAAACAAGAGTATGTCACATTCATTGTCCAGTGGAATGCGGAGATCATTTGAAAGACAACGGTAGAACCCGCCCCACAACCGAGAGCCGTCAATGGAGCATGCCCAGGACTAAATAATACATTTATTTAGTCTGGCTTTCGTTGACCGACATCTGTAGCGTTGAGTACGTCATGGCTTGCCAGGGTAGAAGAAACTGAATCGATATCATCACGCAGGTATATAATAAATACTCAATACCAACGTTAGATCGATCCGCGCAGCCCTAGTGAGCACCACCTCACCCCTGCCATGTGGACCTCAAGGGATAAACCATCATTCCTGCTCAATGGTCAACTCTCCTCGCAGGGTCACCCATAAAGACAGTGGGACGGTTAAATATTGATTCAGTATCACAACACAGAAATTGATATTTTCTTACATTTCTCATTTTAAATTTATGAACTTGAATCATAAATACACTAAAAACAGTTCCTTGTGAATTATATTTATATTTATCTACTTCAAGATTTATAAAATAAATGTTTTTTCCCCACTAAGAAAGTCCGCTACGGTTGAACCCAGCCTTTCCATTGGATGCATAAGTGGCGCGTAATGTAAGAGATGCAGTTTACTCACGAGCTCACTTCCTGCCAGGAGTGTTTGAGATGTGAAATGCCAGCAAAGCGTTCCACGCAGCTGGTTCCATGAGGTCAAAAAAATCATGTTAGCACTGCAGCACCATATGCACATTTTCAAACAGGTCTGTGGTTTATTTTCTGTTCTGTTTACCTCGGCTATGGTGATTTCACAGGTCATGACGTACTTTCTTCACTATTTAAGCAATTGGACATCTGCACTTGAAAGTTTCCAGATGTTTTACACTGCTTTTGTGTTTGACTTCCTGTCTGGCCCGATCTAAACTGCTGAGCTTGACATGTTCCGGAAGCGTAGGGTGTAAAAAAAATCTAATCATAAGCAACACTTCCTACGCTTCTGGGACACCTCGCTTTGTGGCTGGTGGAAACGCACCCATCCACCATAATGCCAGCTAATTTCTGTGTACTACGGTTTGCTGACATTGCGCGATGCTTACACGTCCGGTGGTGCTACTCATGTCTGGTAGAATTGTCTAATTAGATTTTCTCTTTCTCTTTAGGAAATCACATTTGAAGAAAAATGGTAAGTTTAGAGTCCTTCATGTTCCCTAACATTGTCTTCTTGCATGTTTTCTAAGGTCAAATAGCAAAATGTCCACGTTGAGTTTGCGGGCAGAACCTTGTCATCAGCTCGTCAAGGTTAATGAAACCCTAAATCCTCAGCCAGACACACACAGTCCGTCGTCCAGCTGTCTGTAGCAGACTGCTTGTTGGAGTCAAACACACAGATGTAATCTCCACCCATCCTAGCCAAACCACATGAGTGGACGGCGTTGTCATTCAGCTAGACTATTACGGGTTCTCTCCATAAATAACACAGTACCTAATAAGCATGTTGTTCGTCTAGGGACTGATTAGGTAAACATAAATGCTTAGTCGATTTTAAAATTCATTATGTTACAGAAATGCAAAGAATGTATAAAAACTGGGTTTGAGGTATAATTTAGCAGAGAAAGTCATCTTTGTTCCAAACAGCTTTAAAGAAATGATCCCAGGCTGATTTTGTTTTACAGCTGGACAAAAAGGGAAGAAATTCTCCAGTTTGTTGACGAGCACCTCGGTGTGTTCATACTGTTACCAGTGGCTGAAGCCTGACAATCACCATGTGCGTTTGCGGCCCAAACGGCGTCCGTCAGCGCGAGTGCAGAGCATCCTGCTCAGGAGGGCCAGAGGACAACGACTGAGCCTGATGCAGAAAAAGCTGCTGCTCCGCTTCCTGAAGTCATCATCAACACTTGTGAGAAGAGAAAATTCTTCACTTACACACATAAAGGAAAGATCCTTTTGTTCCACACAAACCATTATGTTCACTACAAATGACCAAAGTTTTACATGGAAAACAAATCCAAATGTCAGTGATTTGTCAGACGTAACGTATTATAGAAGGTAGCTTATTAACTTGTTAGCTAATCTGGTTTTCCCAACTGAGCCTCAGGTGAAAGAAGGGTCATCGTGTTTTTAATTTATTCTTGTCTTTGGAAACTTCACTCATTCCTTCAATCAGATCATTCTTATCCATTTGTCTTAGCATCTGTTTTATTGCCTTTTATTGTCATCATTTCTTTAAAAAGTTACATTTACCTCTCAAACCCTGTGTAGTTGTATTTAGTCAGTGCCACCAAGATGGATGAAGTCATCAGTATTAACACCACAGGAAGTGTATTTCATTATCATGTATCAGTAATTACCGTCCCTTTTGGTCTAACAGTAATAAACCTTGTGTTTCTAGTCAGTGCCTGCGTGCACTGACACTGTTCTGTCCTACAGGGCCATTACACTGGCTACCACACTCCTATGTCCTCCTAATGGATTTTACCAAGCAGTGTCAAACAGCATGATTGCTGTGTTGTCCATTCACACTCCCATTTAGAGGACAGGTGGTGATGGGTTCTTTCCCCTTTCAACCAGTTATCACAGCAAAATAGGGCTGCAACAACGAATCGATAAATTCGATGAAAATCGATTACTAAAAGCGTTGGCAACAAATTGCGTCATCGATTCGTTGTGTCGCACAACTCTCCCAAAAGCAACCCCCCCCCTTCCCGCCCGCCGTTGCGCGCAGAGCAAGTCAGATCAGCGCGAGGGAGAGCCGGCAGATCAGCGCGAGGGAGAGCCGGCAGATCAGCGCAAGGGAGAGCCGGCAGATCAGCGAGGGAGAGCCGGCAGATCAGCGCAAGGGAGAGCCGGCAGATCAGCGAGGGAGAGCCGGCAGATCAGCGCAAGGTTCGCGCTGCTGCGAACCGGTTCCGCCCAAGGCCGGATTAAATGGGCAATTGCCCAGGGCCCACGAACTCTAAAGGGCCCAGGGCACGAGCACAATACTGTATCTATAATTTCCCGCTTTATGAGGACTATGGTGACCGTACGTTCCGTTTTCCCCCGTTGATCAGACATGCTGTCTCATGTGCTTCTTTTCTAAACTTGCAAAAAGTAACAAAACTATTTGAAAGCCACTATTTGTGGATTCTCTGAAAGTTTCCATGGAGTTTGGGACAACTTATTTTTTCATTGATCCTATCGTCTAATCTCACAGCTGAAACAAGCATCCTTAATAATCTGTGCACAGGAAGCTTACCAATGCTGTAGTAAAACAAAAGGTATAATAATTTATTATTAATACAACCTTGTTGCAGCACTAAAGCAGAAAAATGAGATTTTGCATTAAATATGCAAAATATTTACATATGAACTGTTTTAGAGCCTTTTATTGGCAGAATCTGATATTAATTTAGTTCTTAAAAAAATGGGTCCCAACATGGTTTGTGTGGCGTTGCCATAGTGTGACGTCATAGGCACAGATCCCCTGTCCTCTTGTTTGGAAATGGAAATATGATCACCCTATATTAAACAACCTGTCCACCCGGGCTTTTGCGCTGCACAGAGACGCTTCGCTGCCTATGACTTCGAATGTCAGTTGAGAGTCAGTCTCATGCAGACTAACCAATGAAGAGAGGGCCTCAAGTTAAGACCCTCTCCTCATTGGTCAGTCCACACGAGGTGGGTCAGAGGTTACTCTGGGCGGGTTACGTGTTGTCAGGCATTCAAGTATTGAGTATATTTACTGCATATTACAGTAAAATATTCTATATGTGACCACATTATGGTGATCCTCGGGTCGTGATGATGGAGCCCTTGAATATTGTTGCCCAGGGTACAACAAAGTGTTAATCTGGCCCTGGTTCCGCCGTCACATTCCCGCAGAAACTGGTTGATCACACCGGGGCCAGACTACTAGCATGTGGTTTTACAACCACAATGTCCTCAGAAGCAAAAACGCTTTTAAAAGGGAGGGAGGAGTCCTAACTGTTGCTGCAGGCGTGTTGTGTGAGAGTGCAGTTATATACTGGTTAATATATTTTTGGGTTCAGTTGCTTTCATGTGGCCTAATGTGAGTCTATTTGGGATCATTGGAATGATCAGCAGCATTTCTTGATGTGACTTTATGGCAGTTGCCCAGGGCATCATCGCAAGGAGGATGGCATTCATTTACTTTTGTTTTATTTGGTATTTTTTCAGTCATTTTTGGAAATAGTGATCAATTTTGATTAATTCACAGCCTATGTTTAATTACATTTAAAAATTAGTTGTTTGACATCAATTATAATAAATGTCTACAGATGAGATCAAACAAAACAGATGAGAATTGCCCTTAAGCTGTTTAACTTGGACCAAGCATTTTAGGTCACAGATAGATGTAGCTTAGGGTCTCTGTCTATACACCTTATAAGACAATTTAGTTGATGGCATGTTGTTTTTCTGCTATTGAACTGTTTTCTAATAATGTTGTGTTAAATAAAGTGAAGGAAGGAGAGAAATAACGTTTCCCTAGCAGTTTTTAAAAATTTCCCCATGTAATCCAATTAATCGATTAATCGTGTCGAGACCCCATCCGATTCATCGATTATCCAAATAATCGTTTGTTGCAGCCCTATAGCAAAACCCTAATTAACATTAAGCTTTTTTTTTAAAGTATGTGTTTATGCTGGGGGTAAAAAGTATTCAGAGGAAGAGCACAGCAAAGTGCAACAAAAAGACAAGTTCAATGGTGGGTAATGTTTTTAAACGTGTTGCATGCTGCTTGGCCCATTTACCCTGAGGGCTCTGTGGCACTGCCTGAAGCTATAAACTCAGTGTACAGCCGTATACAGTGTCTTATAAGTATATAGGCAAACTATGGATCTGTCTACTCATTCAAAATCTGGATATTCCCAACACTTCCTGGAATGTTACATGTGTGCTCTGACATTCTTCTATGTTTCCCTCTCGTCCGACAGTACTTTAGCAGTAGCTCAAGCTAGCATTAGCAATAGCTCTGGCTAGCATTGTTTTTGGTTACTGCCATTTATAAATTGACACAGCTGAAGTGGATTGGAACATGCATATTTAAATAGGGATGTCCCGTTCTGATATCGATATCGGAAGTCATTCGATATCCGCCCAAAAACAGTGTTTTGGATTATATTGGACAGCTTAAAAAAATCTCCAATATAAGCAATCCGTTAAGGCTCACATTTTAGCAACCAACAGTTAATTTTCCCCCCTCCATTTTTTTCATACTTACTGTTGTTGGCTCTTGTTCTCCAATTGAGTAATATCACTTGATCAAGCCTTTCATACATTCCACACTACGTACCGTAAATCCTCTAATACAGGCCCGGGCCTGTATTTGACTCAAACTCATCAAGCTCCAGACCTTTATTGGAAGGAGGGCCAGTATTAGAGGCAGGCCTCTATTTCTATTTGAGCAAAATGAACTAATGGTTCACTGGAGTTTTTGACAATTAAAATTGCGCCCACATTTTCAAAGTTAAACACATTTCTTTTAACAACGGTAGTTTCTGCTTCAGCCCTCTCCCCCCTCCCCCTGCGCAGCGGCTACAAACTCACTGATGCGCCTGCAGCCTCTCGGAGTTCCTGCTGCTTTAAACATTAAAATAATTATTTCATTTTCTGGTCCTCACTTCTAATTACCTTCAATGGTGTCTGTTTGTTGCAACCACCAGGTACAAAAACTAACTTGTTTTTATTTGACTATTTTTCTGTCCTGCCTGTTTATTATCTTCCTGCATCTCCTCTCAATCCTAAAGAGAAACTGCTACCTGGGTTCATATATATTCACCTTATGAGTTACCTTTGAACTGCAGTTCTAAAAGATCTACCGACCGCAAAAACAGTGGAGCGCTCCCTGCTTGGCGGCCGTATCATACAGTCCGAGCAATAAACGCGGAAGTTAGATCCAAACACCCGTTGTGTGGGAGAAGCATCGAAATGAACTGTTTAATCTGCCCATCATTTGTGTTGAGAGATCAGCAGTGTTTGGATCAACAAAGGGCGACTACTTTGACAGTAGAAACTGTATTTATGGCTTACTTTTGTGCATTTAAAGTTCAGCCGCCATTGATAGTTGTTAAAAGTTGTTAAACCTGTGCATATGAAACAAAAAACGCCTTTTGTTTATCGATTTATTGTGAAAAAAGGAAGTTGTGCTTGCTCCTTTTCCTGTTGGGCAGTTGTGATTCCTGTCCATTGACTGCGGAGGTGCTCCGGCGAAAATAGGATCGATTTTATTTTTGCCAGACGCCGGAACAGAGGGCGGCGCCGCACTGCCGGAGCACGGCCGCAGTAGTAGAATTGCTCTGACTGACTACAACGGGACCGATTTTGCTCCGGTGTTTGTGGCGGAGCGGAGCGGAGCAGAGGTAGTGGAATTTGCGTCGGAGGACAAGGTGATGCGCGCAGCGCCCCGCTCCACAGCATGCAGCAAAACGCATCAGGCGCAAATAAAAGACAGAAAACATTAAAGGAAATGAACTGACATGAACGATCGCGTGTTAAATTAGTTTTTGAGGTGGCGACACCTGATTGTGGCCATGCTCAGGAGGCAGATCTACCGACCGCGAAAACAGCGGAGCTCTCCCTGCTTGGCGGCCGCATCAGTGATCTCTGAGTCGGAGGACAAGGTGATGTGCCCCGCTCCACAGCAGCGAAACACATCAGGCGCAAATAAAAGACAGAAAACATTAAAGGAAATGAACCGACATGAACGATCGCGTGTCAGTACCTATGCTCTGACACAGCGCGTTGCCCCCCTGAGCGCAGGAGCTTGTCACCTGCTGACAGCAGGCTGCTGTCTTTTCCGAGGGCTGCATCTTGCCGGTCATTATCACGTGACAGCGACTAGTCGATGACAGGCATAACAAGTCACTATAGTGAAGTCGACTAGTTCATACAACCCCT